TAATAATAATAATAATAATAATAATAATAATAATAATAATAATAATAGCAATGCACGTACCACCAATACTATTGGATCATTAACATCGCCTAATAGCACAGAAATTTCCGCTAACAATGCTGAATCGAATGCAACAGTCATTGTTTCTTCAGGCGTCAATCATAATTCGCAAAATTCTATAGTCACTACGTCGCATGCACCTACGCCCATAGCCTCTCTATCGACAACAACAACTGCATCTGCAATGGTAACTGAGACTTTAGGTGGTGCTATCGGTGCACCACCTGTGGTTGCCTGAGTAGGGGTTATACGTTATTGTCCCAAACAACAACCGCCACCGCTACTTCCTACTGTAACGCCTTTAACAAATTTATAGCACTTGTAAACCACCTTTAATTAAGTATTTTAATGAAAATACTATTGGCTTAATTATAGGCATATATATATATATATATATATATATATATTTTAAGAATATGCGAAAAGTACAGGAATTGTTAATATGAGAAACTTTTTTAATATTTATTGTTTCGTCCTGCAATCCGTATACAATCCATATATATATCATCACAAACGAATTAATTTTTTCACAAATCAAATTTAATTAATGTCCGATACGTTTTTAGCATAAATCAGATCTCAGTATTTCTTCTTCTTTTTTTTTTTTCTTTCTCTTTCAATCAATTGCTTTGCTTCTCTTCTAAAAAATTGCCGAATAACAATTGGTTTGATTTTGATCTTAGAAACGTTACCACCAAAAAAAAAAAAAAAAAAACAAAAAACAAAAACAAAAAAATAGTCCGAAGTTCACAAGAAAAAACGTTGCTTTCTTTAAACAACTACAGCGGCAGCAGCTATATATGATAAGTTTATTTAAAAGTCTCTAAATCACAGGGAAAAATTCACACAGAATGGTCTCATCATTAGACGAAGTGGTGTCACGACCGCATTCAATCCATTCATTGAATTCACATTTGAAATCTTCTGATGGTGCTTTGTTAGCCCTTTGAATGTTGTTAGCCCTAATAATGTAATAATGTATAATATACACTTATATTATACTATACGAATATATACATACACATTAGAGGGCAGAAGAAAGATATGTTCACTCTAAAGGCTAACACAACATCATCATATGAAATTTTCAAGTGTTAATACTGTTAATACTGTTGAAACTGAATGCTGAAAATTACATAAAAAAAACATCATATTGCTATTATATAAAATTTTCAGAATCGAATCCTCCGTTCATATGTTTACACATTTTCTAAATATAATTTAATAATTATTCCTTCAAATTACATTTTCTCTTAGTTTTTTGCTCGCAGACTCAAATTTCGAAAGGTTACAGAATCAGGTTCTTATCAGGTACCTGTGTCTAAGATAAATCGCGCCATACGTTACGATCACAAGCATTCTATTCATTCTATGTAGGCATCTGCTGCTGCTTCCATAGGCAATTGGATTAACGTTATCATTACTGGCACTGGCCATATTGTTCATTTTACTTTCGTTTTCGATAACTAAGCCAAAAGTCTTTGATTCCAATAATTTCAATTATTTTAAGTCTTTCTTACATATGAAATTCTCAGGACATCTACGTCATCGTTCTGCACGTACAAATTGCATTAAATGTGCGTTGCTTGCCTTTTTATTCGTTCCTTTTTTTTTTATTCCGACTTTGTATGTTGCACTGTGAACATCCAGATCCAAAAATGTGAAATTTCGCCCGATTGTTTCTACGATGATGATTTTCCGCTCATTTAGAAAAGCAAAGCTAATTAGCATCCAAAAAAAAAAAAAGAATCCATAGAAATCTGTGGTAACAGCGTCTAATATAATACAAGCATATTACTGAAGATGGCTGAGAAGTTGCAATTACAGAAGTAAACAGTGAAAAGAAATATTTATTCACATCCGTCTTGAAACTAATCCCTAATATTTATTAACTCAATACGTTGGAACGGGAACATGTTGCGTTAAATGCAGGCACGCCGAGTAACATTACAAAATAAAATTGTATCACCTTTTAGGTAAAAACTCTTATTCAGCGATGAATATTGATTGACTTCCTCTTTTCGATGCTATGCCATCGTTCGAGTTCGCGGAAAATGAAATGCGTGGAAGTGATGAAGGCCGAAGAATTTGGTGGCAATGCGCGCCCGACGAATCTTTCAATTTCAAAAATTTTGCACTTTAGGTATTCCATGGAGAACATAACAAAACGGTAAAAAGAAATTGTGTGTAATCCACCCTTAATTAACATTGAAGAGATGAAAACAGATAAAGTTTCGATGATAACTAACTGTCTCGGTTGTCTCTTAACTTGTAGCTAAGCTTGTAAAAGTTGTACGACGTCCGACGTAACAATGCTGCGTTGATATGCGAAGCTGAGCTAATATATTAGAGAAGGGATTAATGGTAGAGTGAGTGTGGAATGCCATCATCAGAAGTATTTCAAAATTTGTATATCAGTTTTCATGGATATTAAAGGTTCGGGTACTCGAATGGGTAGATCAGCAAAACCTGAAGAATGACAAAAAAATTGGAATGTATGTGTTGCGATTGTGAGAAAATTCTTCGAAATCATATATACCCACACCATTACCATAATGTTATGCTATATACTCCAATGACAGTGTCAAAGTCAAGTGTTATGAGTGTGGACACGGAGCCCATATTCTGTACCCTATTCTGTACCTTCTATACTGCACATAAAACCCTTTTATCCTATATACTCTTCTATACCCTACGTACAAAGTGCTCCTCGTCCAAACCAATAACACTGTCTTCATTATCGTTATTAGAGTATAGATAGCATAGCGCTACGATTATTGTGTATATGATCTCGAAGAACATCCGTATTTATACTGATGTAATCATATCAATAACTCAACCAAATAGCATTAGTGTTGTCATAAGGAGGCTTTAGAAGGCTCTAGGTACGACATTTTGTTGCATGTCTTTCCTTTCTGTGATCCCGTTATCAGCATAGCATTATGGTCGTTGGTAAGATATATGATCTCGCAATCATGCAAACGATTACGCCATATATATAGATTTGAATTCTTTAGCATATATGGATGTAATTACCGATCTATCCATTATTATTAATAGGCGTATTATATAATTTCCAGCTGCCGTAGAATTCAGACTATGTGTACCGAAGCGGCCCGATTATGACGAGGCTCTTTCAAAGCGTGCAATATGCACTTGTGGTTTGGATGCATTCGATGAAGCATGCATTTGACTAAATTTCCCGCTAGTTTTTGTATAGCCGATGACTTGTCCTCATTTCCGTTAGTTATCCGTTAGTTAGTGTTTCTCTAGCGTTTCTATTAAGTTTCAAATTAATATTCGTTTTTGTTTTTTCGGCATCGTGATCATGATTGGGGTGGAATTTGATTTGTGCGACCTATTACAACAACCCAACATACAATCAAACTTTTGGCGACAATGAGCGTTCAAATTAGATCGACTAGTGCCTGAAATGTCGATTTGTCGAATTGTTTTTGAACCTAACTAACAAACAAATTGTACTTTATAAGAAATTAAGAATTTTCTGCTTTTTTTGTTCGAGGTGAAGCAGGTTTTAAATCATGTTTGTCCGCTTGACGTTTGACGTTATACTACAAAAGATGGTTATGTTGTCTATCACTGTTACGCAATGGGCCAACTTTCGTTTATTGTTGACATCGTCAACAACTACGTAGAATAATTTTTTTTTTTTTTGAATACATTTATGCCGCATAATGTATTAAATATTCTCGCTTATGTATATCGCAGACGCATTCTTCGAAGCATAACTGCAATCCTTTGCCAATTTGTAAATTACTTGAGCGATTATCTATTTTAAGGTTAAAAATAGAAAAAACAAACTTTTAAGGCACAAGTCATTATTATATTTTTACTGAATTTTTTCTTCGCTAAAGTGATGTGACCTTTATCTCCAATTACAAAATTCTAGACGCGTTAGACGTGCGCGTTTCATTTCACACTGATTTAGTTATTTGCATTTTTCAGCTGCTCCCATCAATCATCAATACGATGAATTTGTGCAATGTCTGTCCTTATCACTATTCTCCAGATCATTTCTCTAAAAGTTTTCGGCATTTTGCGTAACTGTCGTTTTATTTTATAATAGTTTAAGTCTTTCATTTAAAATTGCAAAACTATTTAAAAGTATTTCCCTTGGTAAAAGAAAAAAAAAAAAAAACAAATTGGCGGACCTTCAAAAAATTGTTAGAAAATTGCGTTTATGACAACTCTCTACATCAGCGCCACCATATTACAGGAAAAAATAATTGGTGACGCGTTACACTCACGTACATAGCTATGGAATACAATATATTTAATTATTATACACAATTATGCAATACGAATAAGTTGGATTTAATATATATGACGGTCCGAATGTAACGAAGCGCACAAACGCCTGCCTTTCACAGTCGCAGCTTTCTTGTATACCGTGGCATTTATTTGATATATATATTCTTACGTTTTCACTCGCATACTTTCATTTCAATTACTTTTAGATCCACTAGTGGCGACGTTGTTCAATTATTAGGGCAGGGCGGGCGGTGGTAACTTTCTTGGCTTTATTTTAAAGTGGTTTAAAATTCTTAGCCAAAAAATTACGAACATAGAAAGGGAGAGAGAGAGAGAGAGAGAGAGGGAGAGAGAGAGAGAGAGAGAGTAATGAACACAAAGGTGGTTAATAGGATGTGTGGTCTCTCTTTTATTCTTTTTTTTTTCTTTTCTTTTTTTTGATAACACTTATTTTTGTTCTATATTTATGATTTTCTTTGTCTTTTTTTTCTTTTTTTTTTTTTTCTAAAGATCTTAACTACAAGAAAAACCTATGTATTTAGTAAATTATAAAAATATTAATTAAAAGAGAAATTAAAAGCCAACAAACAAATACTTATATTAAGATTAAATGATAATTTAAGTGAAATTATTGAGGAAAAAAGAAAATGGAAAAAAAAAAAAATTGAAAATATATTAGCTGTTAATAAATAACCCATAAAAGCACCTTAAAAAAAAAAAAAAAATTTAACTGCTAATGAAAACAAAAAAAAATGGTGAAAAACGAAATTAATTTTATAACATTTAAGTAAGAGTTTAATAATAACAAATAATTTTTAAAACATTATTATCATTTAAAAAGGCTTTAAAAATAACGAAACGCTGTAGAGAATGTTGCTTACACAAAACTCTTATTCTCTCTGACAATCCTTTGAACACACACACATACACACACATACACACACACACACACACGCACACACATACATACATACATACACATATACATATATACATACATACATACACATACATACACACGTATACACGCGTATATACACACAAATAGGAAGATATAAAAACGATAAACTGTAGATCAGGCACACACTATGATTGTAAAGTTCTTATATAAAGAAAAAATTCATATATTTTTATTATTGTGTCTATAATGTTAAAATCAAAAACCAATCATGTGTTTTTCTTTAGAGTTAAACAAATTTGTCTATAATGTTAAAATAAAATAAAAAACCAATCATGTTTTATTTTCTTTAGAATTAAGTAAATTTGTGGTGGAAATAAATTTAAAAAAAGAAAAAATAAATAAATATTGTTTCATTGCAAACGAGAAAAGAAATAAATAAAAGAATGCATAAGAAAAACACTGTAGTTATATAGCAACGAAAATATATACATATATATATATATATATATATATATATATATATATATATTCACACACAACTTAATCCTAATCGGTGTATTTATAACAATTAATTTATAAAATACTTACAACACATTTATCTAAAATATAAAAATAATGATGAAAAAAAAAAAAGCCTAAAACCCCTAGTAATTCTCTTTTCTTATCCCACACATTTTAAAAATAAAAAAAAATTTCCATAAGTTATTATTTTCCTTTTTTTTATTCTTAAATTATTAATAAAATTTGCGCGTAATTAAAAAGAAAATTTTTTTTTTTTTTTTAATTACTTAAATTATATAAACAAATGTATTTTTTTTTTTTTTTTTTTTTTTTAAATAAACTTTTATAAGCCATCTACAATTTATAAATTCTGCTCTTATCATTGTTAATATCGATTTTATTTTAAGAGTATATATATATTAATATTGCTTAGTATATATCTATTCATAATTATTATTATTTTTTTTTTTTTTCTCAAATATATGTTGTACGATTACTGTCTCTATGTTTACAATTTTTTTTTTTTTTTTGTCTTGAAAATATTAAAAAGAAAGATCATATATAAATGCAAATAAATTATATATATAAATACTGATTCGTAATTGATTCGTAAAACATGTTTTTATTATTAAGTTACGTTAAAGCTGATCCCATTATCGTCGATGGACTTTTTTATGTCCGTTTTATACACAATCTGACATAAAAAAAAAATCCAGTAATTATGTCACGACCGTTAGTAAATGTATTAAGAAAACTACTGAGAATCGTATTCGAAACTTGAAAAATAAAACGCGTTTCGAATCGTAAATCATCAAAATGATGTGTTAATGCCGAACTTAGGTAAATATAAATAAACTGCAATCATACATTGATATCGATATCTTTTCATTTTTAGCTTATAAATCGGATGGCCATGTAGTCCGTTTATCGGGCATAGTCTGCCTGTAAAAAATGAACAATCCGATCCTTTCTGTATAGAAGAGTTCGTCTCTAGGGAGCCGACAGAAGTCGGCTACCTATGAAATTTCATCAAAATATTTTGAAAAAAATTATGATCGGCAGATATCACGCAAACGGACGGACAAACCTAAGTTGAGTCAGAAAAAGATTCTAAATCGATTGATAGACTAAAAGAACGTAAATTAATCTCTAGTCGTTATACATCAGACATACGTTCTCAAAAAAGTTTACATAACCTTAGCGCAACTGGCGTAGGATGTAAAGGTATATTTATTGATTAGGTGGCTCCCCGTTCTCTTAAAAAAACAATAATATTTAAACAGTTCTCTTATCAGTAGGAATAAAAGTATTGAAAGTCGATATATGATATCGAAAAAAGTAACTGACAGGCGATCTTGAATGAAAACGCTAATGCCATCAGCTATAGATTAAAAATAAAGTATATCAAACTTTGAATGGATTAAAACTGTGCTGCATTTTTTACATTACAGGAAGCAAATAAACACACCATAGTGGAAAAGGGTCCACTCTTACATACGCTATGACACTTTGCTTAATATAGTTATTCACATAAGGCATTATGTGGGATATGGTCGAAACAAGTGGCCCGATCAGAACTATTTTCAACAGCGTTCGTCCTAGAAGCAAAACCTGCTGGTGTACCAAATTCCATCAAAGTATTTTGAAAAGCGTGACCTGTACGTTGAAAAACAGAGAAACAAGACGGACAGACGAGCTTAAATTGATTCAAAAAATAATTCTAAACTGATCGGTAATAATAAAAGTTGGGTCTATCCTAAGCTCTTTTTGGTGTTGCATATCATCACACAAACTTAATATATCGTTGTAACGCAAATGTCTTAAGTGGGATATAACAAAAATAAACAAAAATAACACATAGTGTTAACATTAATTCAAAATGATTATATAAATGTGAATATATAGCATGTACGCTATTATCAACATCTTGTCAGTTGTCATCTTACGACCTACCTTGGATTAGGTTTTGGCGGAATATTTAATGAATGGAAAAAATAGTTTAGTTAAATAAATTATTAATTAATTAGTAGAGTGCTTTAATTTTTAAGGACTTTCATTAATTGACACGCATTAAAGAATAATGAGATTGATTTGATGCACCAGGGGAGGGATCATGCATTTTATTGAAGGAGTGCCGATCGGAAGTTGTGCTGTAGAAAAGCTGATTATGCCACTTTTCACAAAGCCATCCCCGAATTACTTTACTTACAGCAACGGCATGTGTTCGTAGTGCTCAAGTTGGTTTTTCAAAATTCTGTATTGATGGAAGGGTCCAACAGAAGGTTCATAAAAGAAGTTAGAAGGCAATATGGTTGGTTGGAAAAGATCAACGGTGAAAAAGAGTAAAAAAACATGGGCATACAACTTGACGAATTTTTCAATAAACCTCGAAAACTGGAAAAATTTGTGTAGGTTATCAACTTTCCTCATTGGAGTTTCGGAAACACCGACAAGATAAAAACAACTAAGTCAACAATCATATACCGTTGAATCTTTCATAGCCACCACCTTTATACCAAAAAAGACTAAAAAAAAAAAAAATAAAAGAAAAAACTACATTTTCATACTTTATAATATTGGGTGGGTGTGGCTGCCTTGTTTTTTTATTTTCAGCACAAAAGTGGAAATTTATATCGTGTATTTCTTATGTTGTACTTTATGAGTAACAAGCAAAAAACACGGAAATCAAAGGTATTCATAGCTTTTGTCGCATAGACCTGTGGGCGCTGAAGGCATGTCATTTAAAAAATTTGGGCCATTTTCAAATTCTTTTACGCAATTGTAGGCGATAACGTCATTTCTATGAAGGGAAGAATGTTTATCGTAGATAATGCATAGTAGGGTAGACGGACAGTTGGATAGACGAACAGATAAATATGCTTAGGTGCATTCCGGTTTTGAACTTGCCCAGGACTCCATATACTTTATGGGGTGTTTGAAGTTTACTTTTGTGCGTTAGAAAGATTTTGCAAAAAAAAAAAAAAAAAATGCAATTATGATACACTACAACATTAAGTAGGCGTGGCGGATTTTCTCAGTGTTTACATAAGTGCAGTAAATTCTACAAACAATATACGTTCAAATTTCGGTAGATTTGTCGACTGATCAATGATCAAATGACTAATTTTTTATTTCTTTCAGTTTACGTGGTGCTGTAGACGTGTCCTTCTGCAGATTTGATCCGTTTTCATTATCAACCTGCTTGCGAGAACATCCAAAGGTTCATTTTTTCGGCAGGCGACAGTTTACAACAGACATTGTACGGACGGGCAGGCTTAAATCGAGAATACGCTACAAACGCTTTGACAAAATGAATATGCCACTCATTCTTCGGCGACGAAAATATTGAACAATCCTTATTTAAGCTTGGGACCGACAGCTTGATATATTAATATATTTTATCATGATCACGATCATGATATTTCGGTTCATGTCAAGGACAAAGATCTCAATTTTTCTTTTTTTTTTTTCGAAAAGTAGAAGATATATTAACCGTGGAAGATATGCTTGAATGAAGTAGTTCCAATTCAAGATGCATCCAATGCATCGTAGCAACGTTAAAATTACACACAATCAAAATTTGCTAACTTAAAGTTTGTAAACCGGAACTGAAAGACTATTTCGAAGCGGATCAAAAGAAAATTTTATGTTGCACGGATTTGTGGAAACTCAGTACATTTATAAACGATTTTCTTGTTGGAAACTCGACTAATGCAAATTTGTGAACTGCAAATTGAGATCATATCTTCAAGGAGGAGCCGCTCAAATCGATCCCACCCTAGAGACGAATCAACATATTCAAATAGATAATCGGTCATAAAAACAATGATAGATTATAAATACGTCTTTAAATCGAAGAATCATCTTTCATGGCAGCAAAATAATTAGGCAATCGAATCATCTATGGCTGTCTAGCAAGTCAGAAGATGCGAACTTTTTAATATGATTAGTTAATGTCGTAATGCGGGAAGATAGCGCTGCGTTTGGAGGATGCTCAATGTACAGGGCAAAAACAAAGTGAAACTTAAATGACTAACCCGATTAGTCGGATAGTATTACAAAAGATACGATGCTAAGAAGAATGAATCTATTATATTTTCACTTTTTATGATCATAATATGATTATATTCAACTTGGAAAATCCTGAAGCGAGACGAATGGTGCCAGGGAAACTTGGTTCAACGATAAAATTTTGCGTTAGCATCGTGATTCGTTATAGTTAAGTATACCGATAATATTGAAATGTGCATTAGCGAATTCTACTTTATCCGTTGATGGCGTGTCAGTCAGTCTATCGGTAATGAGTATTTAGACGACGCTAAGGAAAATGCTTGCCAATGTTTATAATACGTTTTATTTCTCAACATTTATAGATCTTACGTTTGTAGTCGTTTACTATCGATTGTTATTGTATTGGCAATTGGGTCATGCTTTTTTTTTTTGCATCGAGGTTTTTCATGACGCTGATCCATATTTTTGCATTAATTTTGATAGCATTACAATTTCGTAGTTATAGCTTTTTGCCCAATGTGGGCGTGGTTTGGGTTTTATTATGCTCACTTTAAAACTTGATCTGCACAGCGCACAGATGCCAAGTTTCAATTTTGAAAAAATAGATCTATGGACGAACAGATGTCAATCAACTCAGAATTTTAGACTAATTAGAAGAGTATCTTAGACATATTCTACGATATTACTCATAAATGTCCTCATCCCAATCATTGGGAATTAGTTGAAGGTTTCGATGGACCTACAACTATGTAGGAAAAATCCAAAAGATATATCAAACCATAAGCTTTAGCGTGAGAGATTAAAACGCTTAGCTAAGCTAAGAAGCGGGAACGCATTGCAAGCTCACCAAAAAATATGCGGGCTGGTGTGAAGAGAATGTCGAGAGCAATCTTATGATTAACTAAGGGACTGCTTGAAAATACTAACAGACGATCGATAAATGCTTTCCCATTGCAATTTTTTAGATAATCTATATGCTATGTATAAGTCGTCCAACGTATCTAAATTTTTGATTTTTTTGAAATTTTTTCTTTTTTTCAGTTAATGAAGTCACATATTAGATAATTTTGATCCCTTCGTCTTATAATTAATTACATTAAATATATACAATTCGCCTTAATTGCGCTGACTTTCACAGTTTCGAAACGTAGATCAGACGAGCGGAACGGCTATAATGCAAATTTTTTATGTTACGAAGGGTATGAAATCGCCAGTATACGTTCACCATTCAAATAGGGGACACAAAGTTTTGCATGTATATGGAATGTTTGAAGAAAAATCACGAGAAGTTTAAAGGCAACCAACAATATGCACTTAAACATATGTGTTAACAATGTATATACATATACACCGAACAGAATAGTGTTGGTACAGAAAACACAAAAATATTTAAAATATTTGTACAAAGTATTCAATAAAATTTAAAAGCATTTTTACTTTTACATATTTATATACACACATACATATATATATATATGTACATGTATGTTGATATAAAATGTATATTTTTAAATATATTTACAACTATTTTTATAAGCAAATATTTACAAATTTCATAGGATTGAAAGGGGCTTAACAAATGTATAGCAATATGTGCAGAACAATTGGAAAATGAGGACGCATGCGGTGAATTTTTTTTTGTAAAGCTTTACAGGAGAGGAGCTTCCACATTTCGAGACAATAACTTTAATTTAAATATTTAATTTCATTTTATACTTCCATTAATCAGTTGGCGGTAATGTTTCTGCTAGTTTAGCATATTTCGCCAGACGCTTCTCTAATTGATCCAAGAGGTCGAATCCAGTCTTCCAGAGTAGAAGTTCAGCTCTAACTTTGATTTTAGTACGATTCTTAGCTAAATTCTTTTCCATTGAGTAGCCCTGCCGAGCACAAGCGATATCTTGAAGTCTTAAACGTATAACAGGGCAGATATCATTATTCCCATCTCCCACATATACCACACGGTCGTAGCTTATGTTCTCGCGTAGATTTTGTTCGATTAAAAAATGTTCCAACACCTTACCTTTACACAAATTAACAGCACTCATGCGGCATTCAGTTTGATGATGATACGGTTTAATTATTAATTGCCCTGCTTCATTGAAATGGGCAGGATTAGTAAATACACGATTGATCTTGTCCTCCAAACCGTGATATTTTAGCCATTCGTTAATAAAAATCGTATTCGAATCGCTAATGATAATCAAATCGAAATTGTGATTTTGTCTTAAACGTTTCAGCAGACGTACAAAACCCGGCACTTCAGGTATCTTTTTAATACCCTCGATAATATCATAAGATTTAATTCCATGTGAATGCAATAAACGGAAAACTTCTGCCATATAATCGGTCCATCCTTTTGTTTCAATGATACTGTGCAACTCTTTAGTGTTTTCTTTGGCAGGCAATAAGTCACGTATAATCGTATCAGTATTCTGGGCCACCACTGTATAGTCAAAATCAAAAGCAGCTAAATAGCGTAGCGAAAGTTTATTTTTATTTTCTCGATCACTTGTTGTCAGCTCCTCCGTTGTTGTAATTGTTGTCATCGTTGCGTTATTGTCTATTGATTTGTTGTGCTTCTGCCGACCACCTGTTTTGAGATTGCACTGCAGTTTTCTATGAATTTGTTGCAAAGGCGATGACGAAGGTTCTATCATCAACGTCGCCCACAGCTGTCGTTTGTTGCCAAAATGTGAAAGTGTAAATACCGCCTTTGCCTCTCTTCCAAGGGCGAACAACAGCTGATTTATTAGCATTTGCAAACGTTTTAGATGCGTTGGTATGCGTGAAATATATGTACGATAGCATTGATGCCGCAAGTTATATATGCTAAGCAGTGCATTAAGTGAATTTACTACAATAATTTTAAAAGGTTATAAACCAAATATTGTTAAAACTGCTCTAAAAATAGAATATATTAATTCGTTTTTATTCTAGTTGACAAATAATCGATTTAAAAAAAAAAAAAACTTGTAGAATCCAAGCAATCATTATTCACCAGGAGACGCTGCAGACATTATCATTATTCGCTTACCTCTCACATTATTATATTTTATGCATTAAATAAAATTTCGATTTTAGTAATTGCTTCAATTGAAGATCATAAATTAGAAATATCATTTTTGAAAGTTTAAGTTTAATGCACAACCTCTCGTTCATTCGTGTTTATAACACTTTCTTGCATTTAGATTTAAATATTTAAACTGGCAACGCCTTTTGCCCTAACTAGGGTTGTTAGTATATGTGATGTAACAGAATTAAAATTATAAACACTTTTTTAATGAACATTCCAACTTAAAAATGTGCAAGAGTAAGAGGAAGTTGGCGGAAAATTCGTAAACATTCCCACCTTTACGTAAATGCTTTTTAGTTACTAAAGTTTGAAACACTGGAATTAGGAAATCAGTCTTAGCCGTCGTCGCCGTCGTCACCGTCGTTGATAGTATCATGATAAATTGCGGTGTTCTGTTAAGTAAAAAAGGATATCAGTTTATTCATATTTTGTATATCCTTTATAAAGCACGCATGGTTAGCAACTTCGGATAATTCTGGATTCCTAAAACAGGAAAAAAGTGTACATGTGTGTGTCCGCGTTTGTTTTTGCATGTGAGGTTGACGCAAAAAATAAATAAAACAAAAAAAAAAAAGAAAAATTAATTTAATATGAACCCATCGACAACCTGTTTAGCCAGCACCTTTAATGTTGACGAAAAATCCATTGCTCCAAAAGCAATGCCTGTGTCGGTATTGGCGATGGCTGGACAAAAGTTACAAGATACGGGCAACATCTCGCGCGAAGATTTTGATGATCCAGTCAGTTTAGATGAAATCATAAATGGCTTATTTTTAGGTTAGTAAAGAGAAAATGAATTTCTTTTTCCCATTACTCTCAGATATAATAAGTTTATAATAACATCTGCATTGATTTATTTCAATTTTCTTTTGCCATTTTGCAGGCAACTTAACAGCAGCGACTCATATGGAAACGTTAAAAAATTTTAATATTACACACATTCTTACATTAGACTCGGTGCCATTGCCAAAACATATAACCGAAGCTTCCTTTTTAACCACAAAGTTCATACAAAGTAAGTAATTGCAAGAAGACATACTTGATGGTTTTACTAGTTATATATAGCTACGATACGAAAATTTGATTTGAGAGATATTTGCAAATGATATGGCCAAATTAAATGTTTATTAAAAGCGAAAACACATAAACATATAAAGATAGTTGAGGCTCATAGGTAACCCATTGATGTTTCGTATTTTATATCAAGCAAATAATAGTTAATTCAATGTTGCCTAAAATTTTGTAGGGACTCATGCGTTAACGTCGCTTACAGGTCAATTTAAAGTAAGATAGTGGAAAAAAATCACCAATCTACGGTCTTATTCGCTTTTCTTTTCTTTTTTTTTTTTAAATAAATAGGTGAAGTTTCAGTGAAATAAAAATTCTTTACATAAGCCATCCCAAATACAAATATATTTAGCTAGATAACCGAATGTCTTCTACAAACTAAGGAAATTCAACTCCATGATTGAGTAGGTATGAAACGCAAATATGTTTATTCAATCAATGTTGAAGTTATGCCGATCTGTGTTGTGCTGTTGAAGTTTAAAGCCTTATCTATTCCGGCACAATCTTCCGGTATAACGTGTGTTTTTAAGAAAAAACAAAAATATACATATATATATAAATATATATATATATATACGCCGTCAAAACAGATGCTTGTTGGCTATGTAGATTGAAGCAGCTATAACAATGTCAATCGAGAAAGATTTTGGAAGATGGACGCGACGACTGGTTTGGCTCGAATGGCAAATAAAAAAGAACCTACAAGTGAGTTGCTGTTATCTGTGATTCGTCCGGGAATCAGATATATCCTAATTGCTCAAATTAAACCGAGAAATCGATGAAAAGAGGGTTAACGAACGTAATAGAATATATTTTATGGAATATAATCGCTTTTCCTCTCTAAATAGTTAGTATTTTCAGTTCTTCTTTTTACAAACTTATGCGGTAGTATCGGTGCTTTTGTTTTCGCGCTCTAGCAAATTAAAAAAGAAAAACACTAAAAAAATTTTATGCATTTACTTAAAACGTGGTCTTAAGAGTTCGTATGAACTTCTTGCTTCCTGTAAAAACAAAAACCCTAATGATGTCCTTCCAAAACTTGCGATTTGCTTGCATTTTAAACCTTGGACCTATTAGCATGACAGATGTGAACAAAAAAAGACATTGGATTATAGTAAGTAAAGAGAAATCTTCTTCTTTTGTTAATTGTAAGGTCTCTTGTCTCTAATTTTGCTTAATACAAACATTTTCTATAGAATATTTCTATTTAATGCATAATATAATGTGAATAAGGTTTTAACGCAATACATTTGCTTATTATTGTTTATGTAAACTTTTCACATATATATAATAAGCGTGTACTTATTATCTATTTTGTTCTATTGTGAATGAAGATGAAGCTTTTGTGCGCATCCTTTCAGTCTTTGTATGAACACATCATCATCATCATTATCAGATATCTTTTATATAGTTGACGCACATTGTTGGTCACATTTTATTAATATATGCTAAGATGAATGAATGACATATATATATATATATATATATAAATAATATATATAAATAATATATATATATATATATAAATAATTCCAATATAAAAACAACTGAAAAGATTTACAGTCGGGCAAGGTCACTCATCAAGCATCCTACACCACATCGACTAATACAATCTTTCAACATATTTTCGCGATAAGATAGGCAAAATGATGCTTTGATCACGTGTGAAAGCTTGCTTTTCATGAGAATCGTTATATGGGATGGTGTACTAAAAGTAAATCTTCACCATCCAAATTGGATTGGAGTTGATTGTTAAATTTCGATTTCTTTTATTGATCAATTTTCACTATAGCATATGAAAAATTATACCGTATTCTCATGTAACGGTTAACATTTTGTAACAAGAATTACATAAAAAATTAGATCACATGTGGGAAGTGGTCGGAAAAATGATCTGTATCGTGCTGTATGTCCTTGGCCGAAACGGCGTGTTTTCTTTTTAAAAGTGCAAAAAAAAAAAAAAAAACTATGAAACGTTTATATATTTTAGTTAATTAAAAGCACACAAGATATACTCTAGAAAATTGCTGAATATTCAAACTTTTTATTATTTTGGGTTAAGATAAACAATACTCACGTGTGTAACATCGCTTAATATTTGCCTTTTATTATTTACCACAAATACATACAAATACATCACTTAACTAAATGTTTATGTTATTACAATATTTTCTTTTTTAACGTACAATATTCGCTGGTCGAAAATGCTAAATACTCAACCTAAAGGATTTGTGAATAAATTTCACTTCCAAGTTCTCAACTATGTTGATCGTTTTAATAAAACATAAATTTATTATGGTCTATGCGAACTGTAATTACCATCTAAGCAATTATTAATATTTATAAAGGGTAATTTCTAAAACTAAAGACTCAGAATAAAACATTTTTGCATAGTTGTATTTTCTCTGAATATATAAGATTTTCAGGCAACAGAAATCCATAAATACCTCTTCTTCTCGAGCTAACATCTAAAGGATATCAGAAGAGATTTTTCTCTTTTCTTTTTTATCGAGCTATAACGAAGGTACACCAGATATAAATAATACACGAATAATTTATTAAATTTATTTTGTCCGGAATTTAACCGATTCGAGACAGCGAATTTTTTCAAACCCAATATCCAGAAGCGAAATTTTTCCTCTTCTTTACATTGTTTATTTTCAATAAAAAATAATTTAGTTTACTATAGCAACCAACCAATTCGTAAGTCAGTGCACACAAATAAGGTGATTGCATAACGTGCATGTGTGTACATACACTTGGTGCTGAGCAAAACTTGTTGAAAAATTTGTTAGATAACAAAAAATCGTTAGTTTGCTCTCAATATTGATGGGCAGAATATGAGAAAGAAAGGAAGAAGACTCATAAGAAATAATAAAAACCCATATCTTTATCTACACATATGTCAGGGAAAATGGTTTTATTAAATAAAAGTTTAAAAAAAAAAAAAAA